ATACAGGTAAAGCAATTTGCTGATGTCTTATAGATGATCACTTGCAGAGCTCGGAACAGAACCAAGGATTCCTGAATCTTACACCCCAAATACATTCAATAACATAAATAATAAGGGGTGGAGGAGAAAGCTCAAGTGATGGAAGTGGTACAGATTTTCTAGACTGTCGAGGGTTTGTTTTTGGATTGATGATACTGAAAAGTTGTATGTTTACATAAGCATGGCTTCATACGTGTTATAGTAATTGCCAGATGATCAGCTCTGATTTGGTCTGTCTTCCCTCTTGTATATTTTTTATTTTTGTTCATGTTTCCATACTCTATGACTTTTACTGTTAAGAAATTGTATGAAGTTTGCAGTATTGTTGCTGCTAGGTTATGAGCCCATAGGCATAGTTGGAATGCCGTATTTGGGGGGTAGACAGAGTGCACATGCATGCACACTGAAGCCAGTTCCTTTGGCTCACTGGCTTTCTGGCACATCTGGAGTGGTACATGGGCTGCTGTTGCGTAATTGTATAGTCCCAGATTCTACTATGGCTAATCCAATACCGGCTACTGTAGCAATGTCGCTGTTCTGGTGCTGCTGCAGCTGCTGCCACAGGGATACTACATGCCAAGCTCTTGCTTCCTGCCCTCCAACCCCCATTCCTTTCTCTTCCCCCAACTCTATCCTACTGTCTCTTCGCCTCACCCCTCTACCCCAGCCCTCTCTGTCCCCTCTTGCCTTGCTTTCCCCATGTGGACATTCACCATTCTACAGTACACAGGGGGCACTAGGTCCTAGGAAGTGGCATCCAGCTGCTGAGGCAGTGATCCAGAGCACAAGAGAACATCAATTCTGTCCTGTCCCATCCACTCCCCATGAGCTGAAATAAGTTGGGATTGGAGGAAGAGACACAGTGTGCCTCCCTTCTAATCAGACCAAACTCAGCAAGGCCTTCAGGGCAGCTCAATGTTGTGAGAAATATGTGGGGAGAAAGGAGAAATGGCACATGACTCCATGTGATACCCCCCCATGGCTGGGGGGGGGGCTATGTCCTCTTGTACTCCTCCCAAACTATGACTATGTAGTAGTTACTGTTGGTAACAGAATATGAAAGAGAAGGTAGGTGAGATGACAATCCAGCAAAAGATGTTTTCTTTTGATGGAAGGGGACAATCTTTTGAGCTTCACAGAGCTGTTCTTCAGTTAGAAAGAAAGAAAGAAAGAAAGAAAGAAAGAAAGAAAGAAAGAAAGAAAGAAAGAAAGAAAGAAAGAAAGAAAGAAAGAAAGAAAGTCTAAGGGTTCGTCTAGATTACGAGATCTTTCAAAAAAGCCTATTTCGAAAGAGATCGTCTAGACAGCCCCAAGTCTTTCGAAAAAGCGAGCTGCTTTTTTGAAAGAGAGCACCCAGGCAATCTGGACACTCTCTTTCAAAAAAGTCCTGTTTGTGGTCAAGAATGTCTTTTTTTGAAAGAGCTCTTTTGAAAAAAAGTGTTCTTCCTTGTAAAAGTAGGTTTACCTCTGTGAAAAAAAAGCCGCGTTCTTTCAATTTAATTTCAAAGTTTTTTTTAAAAAAGGCCACTTTTTTCGAAAAAAACTCTGTAGTCTAGACATACCCTAAGCTAATACAAGGTGGGACAGATTGTAATACATAAGGGGTTAACATGTGTTGTAGGCAATCACTTAAAATGGAGTGGACAGTAAACATCTCTTTTGGGCCATAAATGACTGTCTCTGTTAATTCCATGGTTTATTGTGTCCAGCAAAGTTATAAATTTAAGTTCCCAGGTTTGTTTTTTGAAGATGTTATACATGTATCCATTGAGGATCAGGACTGAAAGGTTAGATATGGAGTGATCACTTTGTGAAAGATGTTTGCCTGTGCGTGATAATGGTTTTTTTAAAAAAAGCTTTTATCATTTTTCTGCATGAATTCATTTGAGAGTGTAGTGATTCATTTCACCATGTGGCTGTAGGGGCATTTGAGGTACTGAATGAGGTACACTACATGTTGAGATAGGCATGTCTTACACCCAGGGATATTGAAAGGTGTGTTGTAGGAGATATTGATCATCATATCAGGGGAAGTATATCTGCATGTGTTGCTTCTGTTGTTCTAGCAGGATCTGGTGCCACAATGAGTTTATGTTCCCTAATCCTGTGGAGAACTTGCTTCTGATGATTAGCTTGCTGAGATTGTGAAGTTGTTTGAAGGGCAAAGGGAAAGACGGTTTGGGAGAGAGATAGTTCATGATTTGGTCCTCATCAAGCATGAAGTGTAATTGTTTGATGATACCCTACATGGGATCTAGCATGGTCTGTGTATATGGTTACTTTTAAAAAATTTCCAGAATAGAATGCAAAAAGAAATATTTTAAATTAATGTATTTTAAAGTTGTTTTAATTTTTCCTCTTTGACATTTTAAGATTATAAAAAGAATATTTTGCATACTGGGTTTTTTTAAAGTAAAGAGGTGCATGATGTGAAGTAAGAGAAATAAAAAATGCAATCAGTTGTAACTAAAGTAGTCCCCAAGAGAAGATCCTGGCTACCAATCATGTGCAAGAGTTATAATCTGAAGTTTAGCTGGTTTGTTCTCAGGCTATAGATAATGGATAAAAGTGCCTGGTTTGCTGCCAGTACACGGTTTATTTGCCAGATATGCTGTTTCATACTTGTTCAACTTGATCCATATCGCAGGTTCTTCCTATTAGGTGCCTGCTTTACATGCAGTTATTGTGAATCAGTTACCCACAAAATATTTTATGTTACTGACTTTGCTGCAACATACAGCAGATTTGGCACAGTTTTTTCAATCCCAGTCCTGAAACCTTTGTGTAAGCATGACTCACACTGAAGTCAGTAGGAGTTTTCAGTGTTTTGTGTGAAAACAGGTATCTTGTGACATATATATTATAAATTGATACCACAGCAGGCTTTCTCTATTTTATATCATAGTTGACCATTCCTGCCTTGTTACTATTTTTTGCCTTTAAAAGTTAAGGATCAACTTTTACTACCTAATAGCAAAACTGGCTAAGAGCAAGAGTTCTGGTGGAGAATGACTGTTCAGAGTATGCATTCCATAAAAAGTTAAGATAAACCAAGCCCCATTACTTGTCTATGGATTGCACCATAAAGACACATAGTAGGTAGGTATAATGTCCACAGAGGGCAGTGGGTGTAATCTGCAAGTAGATTCATGTGTGCAGATGTTATCACAATGGATCCTATGACCATTTCCCCATGTCCCCCATCCTATGGCCAGCACTCCATCATAGGGTGCTTTGTACGATCAGTCCCATGTAAGATATGGGTACACAGAGGCAAAGCCTTTCTAGCACATGGGGGAATTAATCCAGAAAAGCATTTCACTTATTTCCAGGCAACATGTGGGATATGTTTCTACAGTTCATTTGTCATCCTACTGAATTAAATGGAAAATTATGGGGAGGGGGCTTTGTAGAGTATGAATATCAGACCCCTGATCCTTCAGTCCTGTTGAGCTCCACTGTATGCAGGATTTAGTCAGGGAGATAACAGAGCTAGGTGGCTCAACATCACCTTTCCTCTTCCATAGTCTTTGGGCCAGTAGAAAGCCACTTTCCCCTCCCTGTCATAACTACAACTGCCTCAAAGGACTATTGAACTTATGTTTCTGGCACACCGCAATTACGTCTCTTACTGTAGAGAGGGCCAGGAGCTGGTGGGATAGAGCTAAATACACTGACTTTATATCACACAGAAATTTCTCTGTGTTAGAAATCTCCAGGCATTGTATAAGAGCAGCTTGCTGCTTATTTTGTGCTGCCAGAGTGGTGCAGAAGGGATCCAGGCAGAAGTGAGGATCTGCACCAAGATTTTATTAGAATAATTCAACATTTTAACAAAAAATATTAATAGCTGGAAGATGGTTAAATAATAAAATACCCAAGTAGTACTAAAATGTAACAAAAAAGTAATTTATGGTAGTATGGTATTGTGTCAAAATTAATTGACATTGGATAGTATAGTTTCCATGTTGTATGCTGGAGTATCCTCATACTATATTTTTTACAGGCATCTAGTTTTGGTTTTGATATTTTTGTACCCCACTTATTGTGGTGGCTGACATAATTTAAATGCAAGATGCTTTGTGCCATTCTCATATTCAAGCTACATCACTATTACTCTTATGCCTTTTGGGCAGGGCCGCATAATGACTTTTGTGGACCCTAGGCACTTTTGCCTTCGTGGGCCCCTTCCTCCATAAAAAAATATTAAAAATTATTTTTGATATCACTTTAAATACTTCAACATTTTTTTTTCTGTTTTAGGCAAGATTTAATAGATTTTTCGTGTCCCTAAAAGTTTCATTTTTTTCTGATGTGAGAAAAAAATTAAAACATTTTCTTCAACCCTAAAAGTTCATTTTTTTCCTTCTAATTGTAAAAGAAATTAAAATATCTTCTTGGGCCTGTAAACGGATCGTGGGCCCTAGGCATTGTGCCTAATCTGCCTAATGGATAAGTCGGCCCTGCTTTTGGGTCATGTTCAAGTTAGAGCAGGCAGAAAAATGAGAGAATTGTGTCAAAATATGTATAATTTTAAAAAAGCTAGATATACATTAGAGCTGCCTATGGCCAGTTATAGTTTACATGCTCAACACTTCTAGTTGTACCTTCAAAAGGCTAACAAGTGCTGGGTGCACCTTCAAAGGCTTGGTTTACATAAAGAAGTTAAGGCACTTATCCATAGGTTTTGAGGTTTCCCTTCTCCTTCTCCAGCACACTTCAAATCCACCCATCTGCTCCCAAATTTTCTGATATGTAACTATGGATACTGAAAGACATAAACAAAAGAAGAGGTGGCTCTGTTGCAGATCATATATGGTATAGAAGATCTGCAATTACCTAAAGGATACAGCATAGCACAATACATGTACCTGTGGCTGTTTTAATAATGCAGATAATTATGGCCCTGCTTAAATGATAAGAACATATTGATTAATATTGTGATCTATTTTTATTTTTAGATTGAAAATCTACAGGAGCAACTTAGGGACAAAGATAAACAGCTAACCAATTTAAAAGACAGAGTGAAATCATTGCAGACCGATTCCAGTAACACGGACACAGCTCTAGCAACATTAGAAGAAGCTCTGTCAGAGAAGGTAATGTTTAGCATGTAACAGTGATATATGGTACTCTTTCAAGTAGGTGGTGAAATATGTCCAGATAAAAATACTTTTAAAAGAAAGAAATGAAAAAGATTAATGTAAAATTACAGAACTAACACACAAAATAGTCTCCTCTTTATTTTTATTTGGAGTTTTATGCCTTTTAACCTGCAAATAATTTTATCATACATTAAATGGTGTATTGGAGAAGGTCATTGCACACTGAAGGCTAGAGAGCCAGAAAATTGCTTGGCACAGAGATGAAGCATGTAGCACAATGCCAGGTCATTGTGTGGATAGTCAGAAGAACAGAAGAGACAATTGATATTCAAGTGTGTAGTTTTTTTGTTTTTCTCCTGGACAAGGCTGAGCATCCTCTCATCCATGAAAGTAGTTAAAATACCAGATTTCATCATGATCTGCTCTATGCTAGTTGTGCCTTTCTGGCAGGAGTGGGGTGAGGTTGGGCTGGTGCTGGGCTAAGGTTGGGACTTTTGGAAGGAATTTTTCCCTCACCACCAGACTGACAAAGGCAAGGTGGGGTTTTCATCTTCTCCATGGGAGTTTGGAGGCTTAATAGGGGCAAAATAAAAAACTGGGCTTAGGCTGTGATGTTGCAACTCATTATGTAATCTTAGGACAAATATCTAGTGAAGGTACTCTGTAGGGAACAGATACATGTATGAACATAATTTGTCAGGCACATAGTAATCCGGTGGAGAACTTGCTTCTGATGATTAGCTTGCTGAGATTGTGGACTTCTTTGAAGGGCAAAGGGGGAGATGGTTTGGGAAAGATGTATATCTTGATTTGGTCCTCATCAAGCATGAGGTGTAATTGTTTGATGATACCCTACATAGGATCTAGCATGGTCTCTGTATATGATTACTTTTTTAAAAATTCCAGGATATAATGCAAAAAGGTATTTTAAATGAATGTATTTTAAAGTTGTTTTATTTTTCCTCTTTGACATTTTAAAATTATAAAAAGGAATATTTTGCATATGCTGGGGTTTTCTTTTAAGAAAAGAGATGCATGGTATGAAGTAAGAGAAATAAAAATGAACATAATTTGTTGGGGGAAAGTCAACATGGTTTCTGTAAAGGGAAATGATGCCTTACTAATCTGCTAGAGTTTTTTGAGGGGGTCAGCAAACGTGCACAAGGGGGAGCCCGTGGATTTAGTATACTTTGATTTCCAGAAAGCCTTTGACAAGGTCCCTCACCAGAGGCTCTTAAGTAAAGTAAGTTGTCATGGGATAAAAGGGAAGGTCCTTTCATGGATTGATAATTGGTTAAAAGATAGGAAACAAAGGGTAGGAATAAATGGTAAATTTTCCCGAGTGGAGAGAAGTAACTAGAGGGGTCTCCCAAGGGTCTGTTCTGGGACCAATCCTATTCTATTTATTTATAAATGATCCAGAAAAAGGGGTAAACAGTGAGGTGGCAAAGTTTGCAGATGATGCCAAACTGCTCAAGATAGTTAAGACCAAAGCAGACTGTGAAGAGCTTCAAAAAGATCTCACCAAACTAAGTAATTGGGAAACAAAATGGCAAATGAAATATAATGGTGATAAATGTAAAGTAATGCACATTGGAAAAAATAATCCCAACTATGCCTACAATATGATGGGGACTAATTTAGCTACAGCTACTCAAGAGAGAGATCTTGGAGTCATTGTGGACAGTTCTCTGAAAACATCCACTCAGTGTGCAGCAGCAGTCAAAAAAGCAAATAGAATGTTAGGAATCATTAAAAAAGGGATAGTGAATAAGACTAAGGGATAGTTCGAAATAGGGCTTTATTTCGAATGCCCATTTCTCTGCCGCATGTAGATGCAGGCAGTTACTTCAGGCTTGTAAATTAAAAAAAAAAAAAAAAAAAAAAAAAGGCTCCCGGCCGGGAAGAAGCAAGTCAAGCGCGGGATATTTAAATCCCGGGCTTGATTTGCAATTCTGAATGCCTACATTTGCAGCCCTAGTTTGAATTAGGCTGCAAGTGTAGACATATCCTTACTGTGTCTAAATAAAACCATGGTACGCTCACATCTTGAATACTGTGTTCTGATGTGGTTGCCTTATCTCAAAAAAGATATATTGTCATTGGAAAAGGTTCAGAAAAGGGCAATAAAAATGATGAGGGGTTTGGAATGGGTCCCATATGAAGAGAGTTTAAAAAGACTTGGACTTTTCACTTTAGAAAAGAGACTAAGCGGGGATATGATAGAGGTCTATAAAATCATGACAGGTATGGAAAAAGTGAATAAGGAAAAGTTATTTACTTATTCCCACAATAGAAGAATTAGGGGTTATCAAATTAAATAATAGGCAGCAAGTTTAAAACAAACAAAAGGAAGGTTTTTCTTCACTCTGTGCACAGTCAACCTATGGAACTCCTTGCCAGAGGATGTGGTGAAGGCTAGGTCTTGAACATAGTTCAAAAAAGAACTAGATAGATTAATGGAGATTAGGTCCATCAATGGGTATTAGCCAAGATGGGCAGGAATGGTGTCCCTAGCCTCTGTTTCTCTGGAGGTGCGTGACAGGGGAGGGATCATGTGAAGATTACCTATTGTATTCTTTCCCTCTGGGGCATCTGGTATTGGCCACTGTCGGCAGATAGAATACAGGGCTGCATGGACTATTTGTCTGACCCAGTATGGCCGTTCTTATACAGTGTTCTTATACAGTGTTTACATAAAATAGATCTGAAAAGAATTTAAAGGAGGTATTATTTATAGGAATGAAAATGTGCAGTTTGGGGCTCCTCTGACTGGTATGGCAGGGAGTCACTTCCTTGCACCTTCTCAGGGGCCCCCATTTGAAGAGGTGTGTGGGGAGATCCCAGCATCTGATCAGGGACCAGAATGGCTAAGTGGGAGGGATGACAGCAGTGCTTTGGCTAATATAAATGGTTATGGAATTACCTGCTGAATACTCTATGACATTTGGGATAAAATAATATATGGAGATATACCTATCTCATAGAACTAGAAGGGACCTTGAGAGGTCATCAAGTCCAGTCCCCTGCCCTCATGGCAGGACCAAGTACCATCCCTGAGAGATTTGCCCCAGATCCTTAAATGGCCCCCTGAAGGATTGACCTCACAACCCAGGGAGTAAAGTTGTGATTTCATTAAACCATGTCTGTTGTTTTCTGTCCCTATGGACAATATCTAAATGCCTGGAGTGAAATCCTGGCTCCACTGAAATCAATGGAAAAATTCCCAGTTGACTTCAATGGGACCAGAATTTTACCCATTAACTTCAAAGGTACAAGTAGTGCTATTGAACTCAGGTACTTGAATTCAGTGAGAGTATTCTTGTGCTTAAAGTTCAGCAAATGCTTTATTTTATATTGAACAACTGGGAAATATTGAAATAAACTTCAATGAATATGGGACTTGTGACACAAGTCTGAATACTTTGAAATACTGTCTGAGGGTTTCCTGGAGTCTACAAATGGAATTAAAACTTGTGCCTGAAGGTGAAATTAGCACTATCTATTGTAAGTAAATATTTTTGGGCCTGTGTGCAAAGTTAAATCATGTTCTAGTGTCTAATGAGAATTTTAATCACACGAGGTAGTATTATCTAATCATATAAATAAGTTGGAGCCTGTTTAAGGGTATAAGTGCAGCCTGGTATGTTTCAAATTATTCTATAGTATTTATTTGGATTTAGTAAATATGGCATTAGTACATATAATCCCTATTTTACAAATTGGAAGCCAGTGTCAGATGTTTTGTGAGTTGCCAAAATCACACAACAAACTAGTCAGTACCAGGGACCACAGTTTCAATGGTTCAGTTTCTAATCCAGTAGTTCAGATCAACCTATAGAGAAGTTACTTATCCTTTATTCCCTTGTTTTGTCATTTGTAAAATGGTTAATAATATTTAGCTATTGATATATGGCTGCATATACATGTTTCTCATGTCTGTTTTTGGATTTTGTTTTAGAAATTTCAACACTAATGTTCTGAGAATTTAAAGTTGTTTCAACTTCTGTATTTCTATAGAAATTTCTTTCTCCTGTGTAAAATAGACCAGATTCTCAGTTCATGTAAATCTGTTTGCCATTTTATATCAACTGAAGATCTGGTTCAACATAAAGAATACAAATTTATAAAATTTAGTATGTCATATGTCCTAAAAGGCTTAGATTTTGGGCTTTGTTCTTTGTCTTTCAGTTTTATCAGTTTATTTTTGTAGACTGTCCTTATCTACACTGCAGTTCAAATTAGAGAAATCCATCAGAATCTTATGTGTGGAGTGTTACAGTATCAATAAGGGTTATGTTTCATGTTTGGATCTAACTGTCTTTGATTGGAAATCTTTTTTGTACAGAGTAGGAAGTGAATTACTGGTGTAGCAGACATGACAAAAAAATAAAAAACATTTCAACACCAGATGAGGGAAATAAGATTCATAGAGCTGGAAGAGACCTCAGAAGATTATCAAGTCCAGCCCTCCGCCCAAAGCAGGAGCAATTCCAACTAAATCTACCCAGCCAGGGCTTTTCAAGCTGGCTCTTAAAAACCTCTAGGGATGGAGATTCCATCACCTCCCTAGGTAACCCACTCCAGTACTTCACCATCCTCCTAGTGAAATAGTTTTTCCTGTATCCAATCTAGACCGCCCCCATTATAACTTGAGTCCATTGCTCCTTGTTCTGCCATCCGTTACTACTGAGAACAGCCTCTCTCCATCCTCTTTGGAACCTCCCTTCAGGAAGTTGAAGGCAGCTATCAAATCCCCCCTCACTCTTCTCTTCTGCAGACTAAATAAGCCCAAATCCCTCAGTCTTTCCTCATAGGTCATGTGCTGCAGCCCCCTAATCATTTTGGTTGCCCTTCGCTGGAACCCTCTCCAATACATCTACATCCTTTCTATAGTGGACGTATTGGGGGGCCCAGAACTGGACACAGTACTCCAGATGTGGCCTCACCAGAGCCGAACAAAGGGGAATAATCACTTCTCTAGGGGTACGTCT